GGGGGTAGGGCGCCCAAGGTAAGATGAGGGCGCCAGGGCGGGGTGAGGAGGGGGGAGGGGGGTAGGAACGGTCGCGTGTCGGCCCGGTTGCGCGGATGATAGGCCCACTGCAGAGGCCCACCGCTCTCCACCAGGATATCTCTTGGAAAGGACATACAGTCATCTTGCTAAGCTTGGGAGGTGGTTGCATGCTGTTGAGGTGTGAGGTTTGCACGTATGTATGCCGCCGTCGCGCTGTGTGTTTTGCAACCCTGCACTTTCCCCGCCCCACACACCCTCTTGTACTTATGCAGCCACGCAACCCTCCACAATCCCCCCTCCGCGCTCTTCCCCCCCTTCTTTCCAGGCACCTCGTGCCGTACCCCATGTGTGTGAGGCCGTATGTCCCTGGTGGTCTGTGCCGTACGGGAAGCAGCTCACAGACAAGCACGAGCGCATTGCTCAGTCACTGGCGGCGATCACTTTGGAGGTGCGTTGAAGGGGGTGGGGCTCCAGGGGGGGAGAGGAGGAGGGGGAACACTGTGCGAGAAAGGAGGGGAGGGGGGAGGGGAAAGACGGTTCGTAATGAAGGGGTAGGAAGGCAGGCTCGTCGAAGGTGGGGTTAGGGGTGCAGGGGAAAGGGAAGAGGGGGGAGGCACGTGTGTGGGGGGGGGAGAAGGGGGGAAAGGCGAACCACGAACGAGTGAAGCTGCTGCCAGGAAGAGGGGGAATAACCCCTGGGGGGGAAACCCGGGACGAGAGGAACGATGTCCTAAGCTCATATAACACACACTACTCTCCACTCTCTGTGCCCCTTTTCGACACCAACACTATCGTTGTGGGACCTGAACCTTGGTATTTCAGTGACTGCTGATTGTTTTCAACCGAATTAGTTGACAGACGTAATGCTGACTCTTTGACTCATCCACGCGTGCACAGTAACCGCGGACTGCCTTTACCCCGGCCCCCATTTCCCTCCCTGGGGGCCGTACAGGTAGACCGCCGTACGTACGGCTCCTTGAAACCGGACTGGGTACGTGCCGCACATGCTCGTACTGCTGCTGCTACTGCCGGAACCTGTGGCGGCGGTAGCACCGCTCACTCTGTGTGCTGCCCCCTGTTGGGTATCCTCCGGTCGCCCTCCCTGGAGCGGTACCGCAACAAGTCGGAGTTCACTGCCGGACTGGACGAGAAGGACAACCGGCAGTGGGCTTCCTGAGGGGTGCCTTTCAGGTGCGTGTGTGTATGTGTGTGTGTGCGTGTGTTTGGGGGGGGGGAAGGAAGAAGGGGGGAGTAAGGCGAACGACTGACAATCGAAGTGGAGGGGCGGGGGAGCTTGGGGTAGGGGGGAGGTTGAGGTGGGGTTGTGGGGGTGAGGATGCGGGTGGAGATGCTCGCAAGGAAGTAACGATCCGTTGCTGAGGGGTGAGAGAGGGGGGAAGGGTTTGGGTTGGGGGGGGAAAAGGGGGGAGAGGGACGGGGCAAGGTTTATTTCAAGGCAAATGGCGGGATTGATTGGGGGCCAGTTGACTTTGATTGGGGGCAGGGGCGCAGTTCCCGGGAATGGCGTTGTAAAATAACGACACGAAACACACAGCAGCATGTCACACGGGGCCAGCCATGGCACCCCCGTGTGTGTACCACATGACATGTGAAACTTGCCACGTGTCAAGTGGCGCGCTTATACATACACACACACACACCTCACCTTCCCCCGTCCCCGTTCGTCCTGGTATCTCTATTTGACTTCCCTGCAAACGATTTCCCCCCTTGTCCACCTCTACCCCTTCCACCTCTCCCCTGTCACTACCCCCTACCCCCCTACCCCCACCTCTCCCGGCCCCCACTTCAGGACAACATTACGTGTGTTGGCTCTCCGGAGCCCACCCGCCACACGAGCTTGGCGGCAGTGAAGCTGGCTGCGGCGGCGGAGTCGTACATTCGTGACGTGTCGCAGTTTGAGGTGTACGACAAGCGGAGCCACCAGGGCTACTGGCGACTGGTGACGGGTGCGTCATTATCCTTTGGGGTTCTCATTCAGCGGGTGGGGGTGGGGTGGGGTGGGCACAGAGCAACAGTGGGTTCGTGTATGTATGTATGTATGTATGTATGTATGTATGTATGTATGTATGTATGTATGTATGTATGTATGTATGTATGTATGTATGTATGTATGTATGTATGTATGTATGTATCCATATCTGTTGTATCTGTATCTGTTGTTGTTGTTATCACAGCGGGCTACCAAGTTTCTATACCGTAAAGCAACGAAACTGAGCCAAAGGGCGCATCGCCTGTCGCTGTAATAGACACACATAGCCCGAGAAGGGAAGGAATGTTAAATGCTTCCCGCACAAATAGCACATGAGCTTGATGGCGGCCATCATTCAGACGATGCAAAAATGACCGACGTGGTTTTTCAACTGTTAAATATCCGCTACACGCGTCCGATTGTCGCTGGTAAAACCCCGACCCAGCCTCCTTAAGAACCAATGACAAACCGACATCATCCACTGATGGCAGAAGCTATGCTGGGAGTCCTACGCGCGTTCGGCCTTAGGCCAGTACGACAGATACAGCTAGCAGCATACCGCCAGGGCTTTGTTACGTCTGCTAATAATGCTTCAATCATCTCTAAACAGCGCGCAATTTTCTCCGAATCCAGTTTTCCGAATTCCAAGGAAGGCTTTAACATGCGGTGTGATGGCGGTGGGGTACACGGCGGCCACCGGTTCCTTCCACTTCCTTATCCCCTCCCCACACCCCGTCGATGCCCTTGCCCACCCCGACCCACACCCCTTCTGTGTCTCCTCTTGCCCCTCCCTTGACCCCCACCCCCCACCCCCCGCCCCTGACCCCGACGGATTACTCAGTTCGCGAGGGCAGCCAGAAGAGCTTCCTGCCCGTACCGGTCACCGGCCCTGATGCGGCCGGGGTAGCGCCGGCGGCTGTCCTGGACTCCCCCACCTTTGCGGCACTGGATCCGTTCATGTACCTGGTCACATTTGACAAGGGGGCGCCGGAGGCGGAGGTGAAGACGGAGGCGGAGGTGAAGGCGGAGGTGAAGACGGAGGCGGAGGTGAAGACGGAGGCGCAGGTGGATGAGCCCATGGAGGTGGCCGGGCCAGTTGGAGGCGAGACTGGCGACAGCAGCAGCAGCAGCAGTCGGGGTATGTGCGTGACGGAGGTGTGCGAGGCTGAGCCGGTGCGGCCCCCTCCAGACGAGGTGTTGGTGATGCTGCAGGTGTGTACGGCAGTGGAGGGTTCGGGAGAGGGGGAGTGCGTGCCGCAGTCGGGTAGGACATGGGGGGAACGGATGGGGGGAAAACCTGAGGTAAGAATTCAGCAACAGCTCGGGGTGGGGCGGTCTTGCTGGCAGCTGGTAATGATGACTTCTCTCTCGCCCTCAATTTCTCGCAACCCGTCTTGGAGATTTGCTTTTCAAAGTTGTAGATCTAGACTGTTTTCGCTGCATGCATCTCATTGTCAATGTCAATGTGTCTCCAATCCCATTGCCATTCTGCCATCCCAACTCCCGGCAGTGGTATCCCCCCCGCCGTTCTCGTTGCCTTTCTGATCGGGCGGCGGTTTCCCGGTTTCAGAGCGCCGCGACTCGCACCGAATTGCTAGTGGAAACCTAACCCCCCCCGTCTCTCTTTCACACACATAGACAGACAGACAGACAGACACATGTGAAGCCCAAACGGCACCCTCGCTTCTCGACAGGTCAACCCCCAATACAAACTCGCGGTGGAAGACCCAGCAGCCGCGGCACGGGAGCTCCGCGCCATGACCGCCGCGCTGCACGCCGCTGCCACCGCCGCCGGCCTGCCGTTGACCACCGTACGAGTGCAGTACCACCATGACATCAGCAATGCCGCGCCGGCGGACGCGCCGCTGCTGCCGGTGCCGGAAGCGCCGGAGGCAGAGCCGTCGGAAGCAGGACCCGCCGTCGCCGCTGCTGCTGTAGCTGCGGCGTCGGGTCCTGGCTACATCCACGACTCGCTTTGCGAGCTGCGCTTCCGCATCTCCCCTACGGCGTTCTTCCAGGTCAACACCCCGGCGACATGTGCGCTGTACAAGGTGGTCGGCGACTGGGCGGCGGCGGGGCCCTCCACGCTGCTGCTGGACATATGTTGCGGCACTGGCACCATCGGGATCACCCTGGCCGGCAGGGTGCGGGGGGGGGCGCGTCTGGCTGGTGTGGATGTGGTGACTCGCTTGGGGTGGAGGGTAGGGGGGAGGGTAGGGGGGAGGCTGTGTTGCGGGATCATCCCGAGTTGGCTTCATGTGCCGTACATGTGCCGTACAGCTGTACTCGCAATTTCTGTCGCATGCATCCGAAATTGTCTTTTTTAGGGTTCCCCTGGCAGGTTTCCTTTTCACATTCTCGTCCCTACCGGGGCTCCCTCTCTGTCCGGCCATTTTCCGCTACCTACCCTTCAGTCGCCCGGGCGTTTCACCGGGGGGCTTTTTCCTTTTGCTCTCGCTTTGTTTCTCGCCCGCCTCTTCTCTATAGGCCCCCTCCCTGGCCCTTTTTCCCACCAGCAGTTGTTTCTTCGCGCCTCGCATGTGACTCTCCACCACACATAAATTATTCGTGCACTCACTTCGGCTTGTCCTGGTCTCGCGGCGTCGATGAATAAACACACACATACCCCCATGTACATTTACGGCCCCCATCCTGGGGGGGATCCGCCCGCCGGCCCCGCCCGCCGGCCATTTTTTTTCCTTGACTTGGCACATTGGCACTCCCGTCCTCTTTTTCCCACCCCCTTTATTCGGTGTTTCCTTCCCACCCCCACCCACCCCCTCGAGCCAGGTGTCCAAGGTTATCGGGGTTGACTCGGTGGCCTCAGCCATTGAGGACGCCCGGGTCAATGCCGCCCTCAACGGCATTACCAACGCCGAGTTTGTGGCGGGCAAGGCGGAGGATGCGCTGCCGGGCATCCTGGCCGCGCACGCGGGCGAGGGGTCCCCCTACGGCCCGGGGGATGTGGTGGCGGTGGCTGACCCGCCCCGCGCGGGTTTGCACCGCACGGTGCTCAGGGCGCTGCTGGGCTGCGAGCGCATTCGGCGGCTTGTGTTTGTGAGCTGCAATCCGGACAGCCTCGTACAGAATGTGGTGGCGTTGTGCTGTCCGCCGGGTAGGGCGGGGCCCGGTTGCTCGTGTGGGCGCGGGCTAGGTTCGGAGCTCCTTTGGAGGTTTAGGGTTTTAAGGTTTTAATGGGGTTTAGGGTTTTAGGGATCGGCAGGGGAGTTCATCTACGAACCCCTTACTTACATAACTGCCAAATTCTGGTGTTCGGCAGCTCTCGGTTCCCACCCCCACTGCCCGGCCCTACCTGGCCCCACCTCCACGTCCCGTATCTCCACCTGTGTTTGTGTTCGGGGCCGCAGATAATCGCAGTGGTCGAGACCGCGGCGGTCGGCAGGGCGGCGGCGGCCGGGGCCGTCACGGCGGCGGTCTCGCAGACCTGCGTGGCTACAGCGGCAGCTACACGCCGTTCCGCCCCGTGAAGGCCCTGGCGGTGGACCTGTTCCCCCACACCTCCCACGTGGAGGCGGTGATGCTGCTGGAGAGGTGATGGGTAGCGGGGAGGACGGCACTTTGGGTTCGGCGATTGGCAGGGCGTTGCGGAGTGGAGGCGGCGGCGGTGGTGGTGATGATGATGATGATGGGCCTGACTGGTTCTAGCGGTGCTGGTGGTGGGGTGTTAGAAAGTGTTCGTGGACAGTACCTGACCCGGGACGGGCCCCGGCAAGGGGGCTCCGAAACCCGAAGGAGAAGGGTGCCTCGCGCTCCTTGACATGGTTGGGGGGTTGGGGTGGGCCGGACGATGTGCACGATGTGTGTGAAGAGGGTTATCCGACCTGGTGTTTAGGCAGTGCGGAGGCCACGAGTACATGCCGTACATGCCGCGTACAGTGGAGTGGTACTGCTAGCAGTACTACAATACTACAGTACTACAATACTAGTTGGAGACCGACACTCTTGGTTTCGTAGCGATGGTCGTAACGGTCTTCCTCAGGCTGGTGGTGGTCCGGTGCGGGATGTGATGCGGAGTGGCCGAGGCAGTGCGGGTCGGGATGGGCCCTCTCGCCCACCACTATACCCCATCGTGCTGTTAGCGCAGCGGTCGATGTTATCGCGCGCGGTCGCATCAATCAAAAGCGGGGTGAGACCGCGTGTGAGGTACATGGGTCGGAATAGGAGTATGATGTGCGACAGAGGGCTTGGGGCACACGCGTGCTGAAATCCTTGGATGGGTGAGAATAATTTCTTCGACCTCCTTTCGGAGGGGGGAGGGCTTCGTGGGGACGGAAAACCGAACGGCCCCGCGCCGCCATTACTGGGGCTGCAGGTGCTCTGCTGCGGCACAGCACGGCTGCTGCTGCTGCCGCTGCATTCAATCATGCCTGATGCCTGTGACCTCCCAGACAATGGCGGCCAGCCGTGCACAGCTAGCTTTTCATGTTGGCAGTGCACAGGGAGCAGAGGTGGGCGGGGGTGAGGTGTTGAGGGGTCCGCCATTGCTGCCCAATTGCACCCTGGCCCCGGCCCGACGCGCCACTGAAGGGAAGTTCCCATCGGTCTTCGCTGAGCTCATCCGCTGAAGAAGGGGGGGGGTGTCCAGAAGGGGTCCAGACTCGCATGGGAAGCTTTCCAGGATCTTGGCCTCCATTAAACCCCTCAGTTGACTCAGGGTGTGCTTCAGATTATAAAAAAACGCGCGAGTTTTAGCCTTAGAAACGAGCTCTTTCCTTCAAACATGATTAGGCGATGATTTTGAAGCGAATTACTGGCAAAGTACTTCTGGCTCCTGCGTCAGCGCCTGTAACTCCGATCACAGCCCTGCTACCTCGCAGGGAAGCGCTCGGCAGAAAGTGTGCGAAGACCACGCGCCGTGAAAAACAACTCCCAGCCCATCAGAAGCCCACCCTGGTACGTCGCCCACCACACGTCGCAACAAAGTGACCCGTGGGTCACTTGAGGACTAGCCTGAATCACATCATGTCGTTAACTACCACAAAAAAATACCCCGTTACGGACTTCAGTTAGCAACCAAGGAGTTGGAACTCCTGCCCTGTTGACTGTACAGACTCTGCCGCCGCCCCTGTCACTCAGGAGCTGCAACGGCAGTATTAGCAGCACCACCACACCACCACCATTACGGTTATCACCATGGGACCATCATTCCGCGGGCGGTGGCCAGGGGCGCTGCGGGTCCGGGTCAGGGTCAGGGTCAGGCACCGACAGGGCCACCGCGTAAGGAGAGGTTCGGACAGGGATGCGTCATGAGAGGCCGCAGCCGCATGAGGGAGCGCTGCTGTGTGTGCGTGAGTGAGCGAGCGTATGTGAGTGAGTGTTTGTGCCACACACCCACACGCAACCCCCCACCCTCCACCCCACCTTCGCACACACGCACACCCCCCTGCACCTACCCACCTGCCGAAGGTACGTGTCAGTGAAATTAGGTTGCGCCGGGTGAACCAACATGAAGCCCGCGAAGTTGGCCATATCAGACCCCGGGAACAAGTCGATGCACTCAACCTGCATGTGTGTGTGCGTGTGTATGTATGTGGGTGTGGGTGTGTAGTATGTGTGTGGCAGAAGCTAGTGTTTGTTGTTACAATAACACGGGCCCCCACGAGGGACTTACGACGGTCCGTAAGACCCACCAACAAGTACATACCCACGATAGAGCTCACTTGCACGTTACAGGTCCAGGGTGCACTCCATACACAGGAACAGTTAACAGGGTAGGGATAGCACGGGGGTCCCTCCCTGCTTTTCACCTTCCATGTGCTTCTCTTCATCTAGTCAGGTCTGCTGCTGCTGCTGCGCGAACCAGCACTACTATAGGTGTAACGCTGTGTAAAAAGCGGTTGTCGGAACGGCCGCGCAGCCGAGGCGCTGTGAAGTGGGATGCAGGCTCATTTGAAGTGTAATTGTACGGGCCGTACACTGCTGCAGTTACAACTATCGTGGCTACAGCAAGGGGTATTGAGACCATGAGAGATCCAGATGAAGCAAGTTAAGGGAGCTTCACCGCACGGGTGCGGTACTAGCGGTACCAATGGTGGTGGTCGTAGAGAGCGAGGCAAAGAAGACGGGAACCCTCTCCCCCCCCCCCCACACACACAGCCACAGAAACGGCTGCATGAGCCTGTGGCTCCAGGAATGGACCCGGTCCGGCAGACGGACAAACAGACCTACAGAGCGACGAACAGACAAGTGTATACAGACCAAGCGCGGTGTAAAACTGTACACATGAGTACGCAGTAAGTGAACCTCAGCCCTGCAACGCAGTCGTCCCAAGCCCCAGCCCCTACACACACACCTCCAGAGAAGGCACTGCAAGGAGCTGGTCGCCGGATGATGATAATGGTGATGATGACGGTGATGATGATGGCGGTGGCGGCGGTGGTGATGATGACCACCAGCTCCAAGGTCCTTGCAACCCCAACCAGCTGTCGCCACCCCGGGGGCCACCAGGGCCACCAGCTGCGGGCCGCTGAGGCCGCTGCGCCGCCAGCGGAACCAACTTCACCTTGGAACTGTCAGACGGACTAACATCGCCACCAACGCCGCTCTCAGAGCGGCCGCCCGCACCGCCGCCGCCGCCGCTAGCTGCAGCCAGTGGGCTAGCCGCGGTGGAGCTAGGCGCGGAGGCGGCCGCTGTGCGAGAACGCGGCAGCGTCGGCGGCGTCGGCGGCGTTGGCGGCAGCGCTCTTACACGCTGAGCCAGCATCTGCCACTCCATGTTGAGGCAGGAGTGCAGGCGGGGCAGTGGACTAACCCACGGGACGTCTGCAAGCGGCGGCGACTCCCGGCGGCGCCAAACAGGGTCGTGACCTCCTCGTAGCACCTCTACCTCCGCCTCAACCGCCTCAACCGCCTCAACCGCCTCAACTGCAGGCACTTGTCTTAAGGCCGTTGGCTGCACTGGCGGCGGTTGTAACGGCTGTACTGGGGGGCAACCGACTTGCGCATTGGGACCTGTACGTGGGTGGGCACCCATGGTGGGCAGTCCACCCCCCTAGCCCCTACCTAGGCCCCTGTTGAAGCTCGAGGCCACGCGAGCATTGCACCATACACCGATTCAACGATACACACGTGCACAGGTACATATGTACGTACATACGCATGCAAGTACACACTCTCGCGGCTCAGATCGCTAAAGCACACATACGCACGTGCACATATACATACATGCATATGTACATACATACATACAAATAGGCAGGCGGCTGGCAGAGGTTAAGGTGGCCTGACTTCTGCTCCCGGCCGACCCGGGTTCAAATCCGCCTGCCGGCTCCTCGGGTGTTTGAGAAGTGTTGAACCGGGAGGTGGCCGATGAACGATGTAGGACGTGATAAAATCAACTTGCGAGCTGACCAGGAACTATATCGATGCGACGTTACCCTGGTGCGACGTTACCCCACGCTAAACCCTGAAACCCTAAAACCCCGAACGAGGAAACAAACACGCACCTGACTTCAGCGCCGCATCGATGTCCGGCGGCTGCGCTTCCCCCCATGCGCCATCCCACCACAGACGCCCCAGAATTACCTTAAGAGCTAAAACCTGTCGTACAGTACGACGGCAGGACGGCCAGGTTTGGGGTTTTATCAGGAAGATCTACCCTGGGCCCTGGATGTCCGCGGGTGGGGTCCAGGCGGGGGGGTCGGGGTAGGACACAATACGCACACACACACACACACACACGTAATCACACACATACACATACACACACACTCTCTCTCACCACACCAACACATTGAAAGTGATATATCAATGCGCGGTGGAGGCGCGGGACAGAGAGGACATGACGGTTGGAAGGCGGTTGGCGAGGAGGTCGCGCAGCACGTGTGCGCTCCAGATGTTTTGGCGTGACAGGCGATATGGGGTACAACAACTCAGTGCCGCAAAATGAACAAACACACATTACGCGAAGCTTACACACGCACTGGCACCGGCACCCAGTCACCCAATTTCGCTTGTCGTCCCCGTACATATGTCGTGCTGCAGTACCACTGTCCTGGCTCTACGGCACCTCTAACCTGCGAACGCCTCCGACGGTTAGAGCTGGCCGCCGGCGCTTTCCCGCGCCCCACCAAGGGTGGTGGCGGTGATGCCGCCGCCGCCAGCGACGCCAGCTCGCCCCACTGCAACAGCGGCGTCCCCAGGAACCAGTCCTTGTGTAACCCGGCGTCGTGGTACGGCATATACGACAACCTGATGGAAGGGTCAATTACAACTTTGCCGTACCCCAGGCGGTGCAGGTCATCGCAGAGAAGCGAACACTCGCTCGCATCACACTCGCCAGGTAGGCTCCGGCGAAATCGAAGCTCAGCGCCACCAGGCAGTCGGACCACCCCACGCTTCTCATGAAGTGGGTAAGGAGTGCCACCGGTGGCGCCGCGGCTGCCGTTTCCAGAAGGGACAGCTGCGGTTGCGTCGCTGCCGGTCGCGTCACATTCATCGGCCGCCAGGTGCTGCTGCTGCTGCTTCGACGGCGACGGCGATGGCGGCGGCGGCGGCGGCGGCGGCGGCAGGAACGGCGCTGTGTTGAGTACCGCTGCGCCGTTCCAGCAGCAGTACGCCGCGGCGGGCAGTCCCAGAGCCAGTCGCAGGGCGGTGCGGCCGTGATGGACCGCAAGCGGCAACCGCTTGTCCATCTGGTCGTTGGCGGGGTCGTTGGCGGGGTCGTTGGGGTCGTTGGCGGCGACCGTGCGTGGGAGGTGTGGCGATGACATGTAAGCGTGTGATAACCGGCGAAGGGGGGCTCGTAATGAGATTCGGGTTCCTTCCGACCGGTCGGTGGAGGAGCGGAAGGGCGGAAAATGAGAAACGCAACCAGGCGAGCCGCAGCCTGATCAAGCCTGGAGGCGGGGAACACATGCAGCTGCGGCCGCGGGTGGATGGAGGGGCAGCTGGCGAGTCGACCAGGCGTGAAGCCTCCTCCGGCTAGCAGTACTGTCCCTCATGGCAACTACTCACGGCAACCATTCGCGAGCGCAAACGACCACCATCAGCTCCGCACCGCTAGTTGCAACCGCAAGGCCAACTCCTCCAACACTTCAACACTCACCCGTCGACCGCCAACATCTCGCGCGACCCTGCGGGAGCGCGGTGCGCATGTACGGGGCAGGTAATTTGGTTAATAATATCCGTACAATGTCCGTACAATCGGTTGTTGATCGGTTGTACGCATTTTCCTCCGTCAACTCAAGCCGTTGGATGGATGTTTGGCATCAGAGTGTCACAGGAAAGAATAACCCGCCGTACGAACTATCAGGCGGATAAGGAAACATCAAGACCAGGGCTGGTGACTCGGTAGCGACTGAACAGCCGGTCAGTCAGACCCAGAACTGATCCAGCCATTGTGTTTCTTTTGTAAAGCCTGCGCATGCGCAGCAGCGTATAGGGCCCCCCTAATCACACGTCGCACATTCGTACGCCGTTAAAGCAAGCAAGCAAGCAACCTAGGGGACGGGGGGGAAATCTTCAGGAAATCCCCCAAGGCAGACATGTTGTGAGGTACGTCCGTTGCGATATGCATTTGCACGACAGCGGTCTCACCTACCAGGTGTCGTAAAATTCGTACTGTCGCGCAGGGTCCCAGCGGTGTCCTGCCGCTGCCATGCGCTGCGCCTCTAGGACCGCAACCAGAATCTCATGGGCCTTGCGGCCAGCACCGACCCGTGGGTCGCTTACGACGGGACTAGGACCCACCGCCGCGGCGGTGACGGAAGAACCCAGAGACCGGGTCAGGTCCTTGTCTGTTTGATCTCCTAATCCTGATGCATGAGCCTGCGGCGGCGGTCGTGGCGGCACCGCTGAACCCCAGTCGTCGTCGTCGTCGTCGTCGTCGTCGGCGGCGGCGGCGGCGGCCTCCCCGCTGGTGGTGGCGGGTCGTGCTGACAGTCGCCGCAGTAAGCGGTGTAGGTTGGCGGCTTGAAGTGCCTCCTCATCCAGGTCCTCATCTTCGTCTTCCTCCTCCTCCTCCTCCTCCTCCTTGATCTCCTCGTTGTCCCTCTGGATGGAGACCGCTGCTGTTCCCGCCATCCCAGCTCCCAGCTCCGTTGCCTCCGCCGCCGCCTCCGTCGCCATGATCGGCCCCCGCCTTCCTGGATCCTTCCCTTCCCGGTCGGGGTTCAGGTCTGGTTCGGAATCGTCTTGGGAGGCCAAGAGCCCCCGGCGGCGCCGCCGCCGGCCCCGGCGGCGATCTCCCGGGCGATCGAAATCCAGGCCACAAGCCAGGTCAGCGCCAACACCGTAACCCAGCTGCAGGAGCCGCAGCAGATCCGGAGCGCAAGCGTACACGTCGTTGATGAAGAGCAGCCGATCGGGTCGGAAGCTGACTGTCCTGTACTGCGGCTGTGACCCATGGGTCATTTGCTTGAGGCCGTGCAGTAGAGCTGTGTCCAATACTTTATTGCGCAGCGACGCCAGCAGCTCAATGCGGTGCTGTCCCACGATGCGCCGCAGCGACCCACGGGTCATTATGGCGTTGGGGACACCCAGAACATCCAGCAGGGATGCTAGGGAGTCCAGCCATACGGGCGTCGCGTCGTAGCTGTTGGATTCGTACATTGCAACCGCGACTGGTCCAGTGTACGGCACGGGTCCACTGGCAGAGGAGGATTTGCCAGCGACGATAACGCCGCCGCCGGAGCTCACATTCCGCAGTCGCGGAGGAGGCGGCGACAGCGCCGTCGTACCATGGCATGTCGAGTTCGTCCTGTTGCCGCCGTCGCCTTTGGGGACGGCTGCCGCGGTCGGCACCTGGCGGCCGCGCGTGTGCGACCCGTGGGTCATCATGGCCACAACGCGAAGCACTTCCAATGACCAAAACGGCATCAGCAACTCCACCTGCCGCAGATTGGCGGCCAACAATACACGTGGCCAACCGCCAACTGACAAATCACCAACGGCTCCGGAACCGTTTGTGGCCTCAGCCATGGCCTCTGCTGTCCCGAGCATGGCGCGGAAAGCTCTGCTGCGGCCACCACCACCGGCGCCCCCGGCAGCGACGGTGACATTGCCGCGGCGTAGTTCCCTGGCGGCACTTGCCACGTCATCACGCTGTCCAGCCTCTGCACGACGCCCTTCGCCTCTACCACGCCCCGCCGACAACAGGTAGCCGACGCCCAGGCTGCCGCCGCTTCCTTTCTCCTCTTCTCCCCCTTCCCTCCCTTCCTTCCCGTACGAGCCCCTAGTGCCACCCTGCTCCCCTCCTCTCTGCGCCTCCTCCTCCTCCTTCCCCCCCTCTATCTGCACCCGCCGCTCCAGCCTCTGCGGATGCTGAAATTGATCCCCGTGAGCCCCGCTCCCCTCCTCCTCGTCCCCTAGCCCCGATGCGCCTCCTCCTCCGCTTCCTCCTACTCCTACTCCTCCTACTCCTATTCCAGGGGTTTGTGGGGAGCTTAACGGCTCATAGGCGTTTGCGGCTGTCGCCGTAGCCGCCGCCGCCGCCGCTGCCGTTCCCCACCACACCTCGCCGGCCACCGGTAGCGTGGGGTCGTGTGTGCAGGCCACACTTGGGCCTTGCGCACGCATCGCAGCCACGAGCTGTACGGCATCGGGTAGCAGCGCCAGCGCCAGCGGCGGCAGCCGCTCCGAGACGACCTCCAGCGGCGGCGGCGCCGGCGGCAGCAGCGCCAGCGCCGCCGTCAGGGCCGCCGCCATGGCGGTGTGGTGCTGTGGCGAAATGGCCGCGAGGCTTCGAAGCTCTTGTGACCTTTGCATTACCGCCAGTGCAGCCTCCTGGGGCGGCAGCGGCGGAGTAGGAGCGGTAAGTAGGGGCGGGGATTCGCTAACGAGGCTGAGGGTAAGATTACCCCTCAGTTGAGCACAACAGGCAGCAGGCAGCAGGCAGCAGGAAAGGAGAGGAAAATGGAGAGCCAAGGAAAGAAAAGCAAGTTACCGCAAAAATGATAAAAAAGGGGGGGACGGCCACCTGTGCCTCACTTGATATGGGATTATTTACTATTTAGGGGAACTCGCGTTCATATTCTTTTCCTTTCTTCAAACCCCCCCGGGTATGTGTCGTGTCGCTTTTGATCAACATATTCTACGCACGGTGCGCTCTTTTTTATGCTACCACCCACCAGCCGCGAAGCCTCCAACGGCACACCCTCCCATGCGGGTAGCGGCTGCGGCTGCTGTGGCTGCTGCTGCTGTGGCTGCTGCTGCTGTGGCTGCTGCTGCTGCTGCATATCCCACGCTAAAGCCTCGAGGCCGCCCCCTTCCGCCTGGCTCATGTTCACATTGCCGTGTGCGTGTACATCCCCCCCCTGCAGGCCAATGTACGGGATGCCTTCCCCGCTGCTGCTGCTGCTGCTGCCGGTGGCGCCTGTTCGGTTAACCGCTGCGGTCTTCGCCTCCTTTGCCAGTCGTGGTACGGGTTCCATGGCCTGTACGGCAGCCCGCCGTGGCGCCGCTGCTGTCGTCGCGACCGCCGTCCCGGGTGGCGGCGCCAAAGGCTTCGCGCCCCTGCCGCCGTGCCCCGCCGAGCGCGGAGATGGTAGCGGCGGCAGCGGCGGCTTGTGTGTATGCATGCTGCCGCCGCCCGAAGGCGCCGCCATGGTGTCCACGGCGTTGAAATCGGTGGTGGGGAGGTCGTCAGCTGCGCCAAACGCGGGTGAGGATTCCAGTGCCTGCTCGCGTTGGCGAGGTCGAGGGAAGGTATAAGCTCGGTGGGAGCCGCCGATTTGCCAGCCATAGAGTAGATCCATAAAAACGACGAAGCATATTAGCCCAGCTGTTGTGAGGATGGCGCATGTGAGGTGCTTGGTGAAGGGCAGCCAATTGGCAGTGCGGACTCGGCCCGTCATGCCGCGTCTGCGCGGTTCCCGAGCTGCACTGTGTAATAGGCTTAGATGGGAGGCAATCCAAGAAGGGGGCTGCACGCTGCAGGCCCACGCTGCAGGAGTCCCAGCCTTTAATTTAAGGCCATTGGCATTCTCGTAGTTTTGCGCACAGGCGGAATCTCATCCATCTTCAGCATAATACAGCAATGCTCTTCATTTCAAATCCGTGCGCATCTTACGTGCGCATTATCATGTGCCATGTGTGTTATCAGGAAAGGACATCGAAAGGAGGAACCTTGGGTCACTCGTCGACACTCATGCAGCAACCAGCTCCCACAATGCGTTGAGAATGACATGTGAGAATGTTCCTACATCCTCCTCGCAGATAAAAAAATCCCCAACTGTGCTGCCGCTGGACTCGACAAAAGTTTCAACCATGCAGCCGATGGCGTTTGAAGCCAAGTTTTGCGTTTCTTAAGCACATGTGCCGATTTACCGTAAAAACATATTTTAACTTGACATCGTCTTGCCCTGCCTCGAGGGGAAGAGCCTTGTGGGAGACTGAACCAGTCCGATCAATCCCTCCGAAAGCAAAGCACAGGTTCTGCATTTGGGTAACCCTTTTCCTCCTCCGATTTTGTCCGAACATGTGTGCTTGTTACAATCCCGACCACTTCATTGGAGGGCACGCAAAAGTTACCAGCCATGAAGCGGACATGTAAACCAACTTCGGCAGAAAGGGACATTTTCTCTGATCTGAATACAACGCAAAGAAGTTCGTTCACAGTCTTGCATTATTTGCATCCCGACATCACACATCACAACCAATCCATCGGAACGAGGGTCGTCCTGCGCAACGTGAAATTCATCCCGCGAGCCGCCGCGTGCGCCTCGACCAGCCCCCGACCGGCAGCATCCTCCTCGTTTGCTTCCCGCCGCATACTCGATACGGGTAGGGCCCCTGGGGGCCCCTGCTGTTGCTCCCGATGCTGCAGCGACTGCTGTTGCGTCCGCGCGGCCACGCCCGCCACCTCCCAGACCCTATGCCGCCGCTGCAACCCTATAACACCCGCTGCAGCTCCCGCCGCAACTGTAAACGCGTGGAATATTCCACCGAGCCACGCACGCCTCGCTCCAGCCGAGTCCGCCGCTGCAGCGACTGGCCTCATGACGTCCTTCCACTCCGCCGGCAGGTCCACACCCCGTACCACCAACAGCCTCGCCCGACGGCCCCTACGCAGCGGGCGGCTGTGCTCGCGCTGCAGCTCATGCCAACGGTCCAGTGACCTGCTAAGCTTGAGGAAAACCGGGTCTTGGCGCCGCCACAGCTCCCCTCCGCCCAGTGGCAGCAGCGCCGTCGCCGTCGCAGGCGTTGCGATGGAGCGGCCAGCTTCCCGTGAAGGGGGAGAGGGAGGAACAGCAGGCGACGCGGGCTGCACAGGCAGCGGCATGAGGTTTCGGAGCGACTGCTGCAGCGACGTGACCGACGGCAGCGCGCCGAAGAGTGTGCTGGCGCCTTCACCACTGCTTCGGCTATTGTGGCTGCTGCTTTGCCGCTCCCTATCCGTGCCCGATAGTTGTCTGTCTTGCCTGGGCTGTGTGAGCATGCTGGCGAGCTTCTCGTTCTCGGCGACCTCATCCGGATGGAACCTGAGGAAGCGGGAGTGGCGTGTAATTTGGGATGCCAAGGCCACACTACTAGGTAAACAGACAGAGAAACGTGGCAGACAGATAGGCAGGCACACGGAGTGCGATGCAAAGTTTTGATGCGGCGGGCAGTCTGCATCCTAGATGCTGAAAGGGGGATAGAGTTCACAGGCTAGCTGTGACGCATATTGAAGGGGGATGTGGGTTAAGAGCTTGGAGTGGTAGGCACAGAAGTATACAGAGTAGGACACCATGCATAATTGCCAGCATGTAGCACGGGAGGGCTCAAAACTAATCCAGGTTGGCCAGGGAACCTGACCCACTTCGGACTTCGCCGTCACCATCACAACGATCGATGGCATTGTCCTCTCGGGAGGTTTTATATAATTAAATATAATAGCTTTATCATGGGAGTTTGGTCTAGTGGTATGATTCTCGCTTTGGGTGCGAGAGGCCGTGGGTTCGATTCCCACAACTCCCCATTTTGCCTCTTTGGACAATTCCCATTCCCACACGTGGACCACACACAAAAGTTTGGTGTGGTGTCGCGGCACTGAGCAAGATCTTCACGGATTTGCGGTGTCAAGCGCACAGACGGAAAACGATGGAAACAAAGACCAGCACAAAGTCATGTGCAGAAACTTGAGTTCATTACGGTGCCCATACCCCCAGGGAAGGAACAGTCGCTTTTCCATGATCGTCCATGAAATATGGTGGTTGCGGGTTTGTCGCAGAAGGTACGCTCACCTCGCGTACACGCGCCATTGCAGCTGCATCTGTTGGAAGGTAGTACGGCAGAAGTGAGGGAAAGACCCAAACTAACCCGACAACGATACAAAGAAACCTGTCTAAGGAGCCCCACCTGTCGAGGTATGCTATCGTAAGGCTCGCTGGAGTAGTCAGCTGTGTCTGCGTCCGCTGCCAGCTCGTCGCGACGACGCATGTGCAACAGGTTGCGAAGCTCGGCTTTGCTGGGTGGTTCCAAGCCGACCGATGACTTGGTATCATTGGCCTGTCCAAAATTCGGCAGCCATCCTAGGTCCCGGCGATCTTCAGCTTGCGGTGCGAGAGCCGTGAGCAACCTTTCCGAAATATCTTCCGGTAATGCGTCGACGCGCTGTACAAACATGTGAGGAACGCATGGTATATCAGGTTCCATAGCAGTTAGTTGCGCTGGCGCAGGCAACGTAAAGGTTAATGGCGGCCTTCAGGTCCACTGGCACAGGTCATGTGCTCGCGAAGGTTGCTATCTCATACATGCAGATACAGAGATATATCCACGTGCATAGGTCGAAAATCTTTGTGTCTTCGTTGTGTATGACTACTTCTTGTTCGTGAAGCAACGAACTGATACATTCGCAGGTCCCCAGTGAAACATTTTGCGTTGTTTCTGTAAACGAATGCTAGGCATGGCACTTGTTCAGAAAGCTGTGTGCAATCCGTAAAACAAGTTGAGCTGCCGTTGGTTTCGTTAAGACAACAGAAGAGGCTGAAAGACAAGGAAAGCTTCTGGTCAGTGTGTGGATGCTTCTGTGTTCACAGAATGTGCTACTTTGCAGAGAGCTCTTATCACAACACGAGAACGGGGCCAATCCTGCCGGACAGTCCGAGAGCCCATGTCGGTGCCGTGCAAGAGCGGGAAGTGCAAATCGTACGCCGAAATTCTCAATGCCTCAATCCGCCCGAGACATTAAAGCGTTTAGCTCTGTATTACCCGTCTTGCAGTCCTTGAAGGTATTTGGTTCTTGAGAGTAAGGTGATATCTTCGCGACGACAACGTTAAACCAACTTACTGTTCGCGTCGCGTCTTCCGAACCCCTTTGGTGCATAACCTGCGGAACACCATACCGAACTGCGCTCTGATTCAGCGACAGCCTATCAAGACAGCTCGCTCGTCCCCTGACCAAACGGTCAGCCATCGGCGGGCTAGCACAAAGCTTGCAAGGATTTCGCGACACGATGTACAACTCCTATCCCTGAATTATTGAGCCTCAAACCAGGGCCAGCAATTGATCGGTCGTGCCCACTGCCTGTGAGTGAGGGTTTGTAACAACAGCGCTTTGCTGAACTCTGCTTGGCGGCGCAAGATGGGCCTGGAACGGTAATCATGCATTAAATTGTTTGCCGTACCTCCGTCCCTGGTATCTGGGGAACGCATTCCTGCTCGCTGTAGGTATCACGTGTCTTGGCCTTGGAGACTCGCAACGGTGACATGAGCGTGGGAATGGAGTGCTCCAACGGCAGCCGGAGCTATCATGCAGGAGCGTCGCCGGGTGGTTACTATGAGCGATGCACCCAGGGTCTTAAGGCGTCCACTTCCGACTGCTTCTACGCCTCGACGTCAGCAAAACAAAGTCCATGCAACGGGACTATCGCCAAGGGTGCAAGCGAATTGCAGTGCCCTCCCCTTGGGATGTTTCTCCCTCAAGGTCCAAAATCGCCACGCGCCGTACCCAGTGCAACGGCGTCGCACCAGCTGCACGGCATTTATTCGGTGCTTGGAACGTTTGACGGATCGGCTGATATGACGTGCTTTCTCCGCACGAAGGACGCAGGCAAAGGAACCCGCCTGCCGCAGGTACGGATTGACTGGATGATGTGCTATGCAAAGCCCTGCCCTGCCTAGGGAAAGGGACTATCACGCGTCCACAGCGGGCAATAGTATCGCGCTGTCATGTATATCCTCGCTCAATTGTTTTGTAAGTTGTGGGGTCATTGGCAAACAGGTACACAGGCTTTGACCTGCCTTTGCGACTTGACACATGGCCTGTCCCCTGCAGTTAAGGCACATGGAGTGCCTGCTGATGTCACCTACACGTCGCACCGGAAAGAAACCCCCCGTGTGGCAATGGGATTACAGCGCAAACACTGTCGCTGCGGTCCCTGGAGGTCCAGTCACCGGCAAGGTCCAAGTCCAATCTCACTACACGAGCCCAGACCCGGTCGAAGTTGTTACGGCAGCGGTGGGCGCACTGCGCGTCGGCACACCTGCTGCTGTGGCATGTGGGCACCTCATGAGCGACGCGTGATATGTACACGTCTCAGAAAGATAGCTGTTATCTGTGTCTAGCTTAGGGTACTATTCATGGCCAGCTGTTGCGCGCGTATCGCCGGCTAGACGAGCCCTAGGACTGGCAAGGGCCCATTGAGCCTCGTCCTTGTACATTATTATTAGTATGCTGCCACGAGCTGGATGCCAGCAAAGCGGCAAGCTTCAGGATGTAGTAGTTACGTGCAGGAGTGCTCATAGTAACCCAGTGTTAGGTGTCGAGCTACTAGGTGAACACTGGCGACTAGCTTTTGAGGAACCGTCCGATCTCTTGTTGGTGACAGTTGCATGAGATATGCAGTAGCTTGAAGCATAGATGTACAGTTACATGAATCTGTTGAACATGCACATGATAAACCTCGACGTACGTGTATCGAGTATGTAGCTGTTGCAACCCCGCTTTGCCATAGTCGAGCTCATCTACTGCCAGGGCAAAGTAGAGGCTGCCGATGCGAGCTAAAGGGACAGCAACGACGCAGCGCCAGAATGCATCCTGATCCTTCCCTGTAAATTCACCATGACTGTTCATTTGTCATTACTGGTATATCACAAACCAGTTCCTATCGGCTTGCACAGTATAGCATAACACCACATAACGCCACGTACGTCGACCAGGCAGGATTACAGTATTTGCATGTGCGCTGTTCATCGGGGACCTCGTCCTGCTCAAGAATAAAAATACAATCCCTGCGTATGAACACTATAAAACACATCATGCCTCGTCATCGGCGAAGCAGAGTTCTATGTCTGCACACGCTGGCGACACGTCCGGTAGCAAGTTGTAAAGCTCCGTGTCGAAGCCAGAGCCGGGCTGGGGCATAGTCACGCCTGCGTCCATAAGATGACATGGGAAAGTCTTGATCAACTAGGGAAAAAACGGGGGAAACGCCGTGCGGGTAACATTACGTTACAATGCGTTGTCTCGATGGCAAGGTAGTTGCGGGCAAGGGGGGGGTCCCCTCCTGGTTGTGGGTTGTGCATGCACCACAGAAGTATTAAAGGAGAGCGTGAACTCGCTGTCAACATGATGCAAATACGAAGCACAATGGGGGCAATCGTACCTTGTATGTAACGCGGCGCCAGAAGCTGTACGACAGCAGGTAGCTCCGAGAAGCGCTCGTCAAGGCCCTCCATAGGGTCGCTCTCGTCGTCGCTACTGAGCTGCAAACGCAAAGGTTAAATCCATGGGGCAATTGCTTACGGGAACGTTTTAATGGAGCATTTTACCGTGCACACCAAAGAGTAATCCGTATAAAAATGGCCAACGCTTAAGAGGCCTACAGCGCAAAGGCACGTATACACCCATAAAACGTGCCTACTACTCCTGAAGCACGCTTTGATGAACGGCTTTGCACTGGTAAAGTTGGTGGACATACAGTGTAACAACACCAAGAAAAGGGCAGGGATACCGAAGTGGCGAAATGCAAGGGCTTTTCTTCCCCTGATACCTCATGGTAAAGGTGGCTTGTCGTCCAGTTGCTCGCCGCAGCTGCGATGCGGTCAAGTTGTTGCTGCAGCTTGGCCTCTTCCTGCTGCCTCAACTCCTTCTCCATTACCTGCCAGCTCCTCCCTGCCAGCTGCTCAATAGGTGATTCCGACACGGCCCGTGCGCTTGGTTGCGCCAGCTTCGTAGAATTGGACTGTGCTCCCCTCATCGCATTTGTCAGGTCGCCCAGGGCTGTCCGAGTCTTCTGCTGAGCTTGTGGCTTACCCACAGCAAACTTGGCTGGAGGTTTGCCGAACGTTGACCTGGAATTATCCTTCACACCACGAAGCCCATCGCTGGCCCCGAACTTGAACGGTCGGTTAGAAGCCACAGCATTTTCGTCGGCGACTTGCAACATGGTGCGGAAGCTGTCTCAGCTGTCCGGTCCAGGCAAGCTGTAAGGCAAGCCTCTGGTAATATAGTTACAAATTCTATGTTGTATTTGCGTTACCTCGGTTAAGACAGAGGCGAAACAATGCACGGGAGTTGAGCAACTGCGCCACAGGAAAGATCAGAACACGGAGTGCACAAGCAGTCTCGCTTATGTGGTCAGAGAAATTATGAGCTCCGTTATGTTTGGTTCGGTCTTATGGACGATACAAGTTGCAAGGGCCAATACCGTTCATACCGTACTTGCGGTTTCTCCCTTTCCTCAAGCCATTTGCCTGATTTCTTACGCTTGTTAAAATACCAATGCTCCCTATCCTTTTGAACAGAGAGGTTGATGCTGTTGCACCTGACGTAAGCGCGGGAGGAATTGACAGAGGGCGGAACTGACAGCCATGGACACCAGCATGGCGACATCAGATGACCAGATGGAAACATCAGTTACAGGTCAGAAAATCTGGACTAATGAACTATTCTCCCACTGACTCAGTTGGGCTACGCCCTCCCTATCGTAGGAAGCACCGGAGCCGCCAGCTCCGTCCGCACTGGAAAGGGAGCTAAATCATCATCTACCCGAATGGTAAGGAGCCTGTGGATTCAGCGATCTTTGTTCAAGCATCGCGACACTGTCCCTTTCCGGACGCCAGGTCTCTTCTAAGTTCATGCAAGCGGCAGCAGCTCCGCCAACAGGCCACCGCCAGGATGTCAACGGGAGGGACTCGTTCCACCTGCGCGCTGGGGGAAGCATGGGCTACGCTTCGGTCGCTGCCACTCCGGCACATGCCATGAACGCAGGGCGGAGCCTGCATCTGCCGTCAACCGTGAAGCCTTCCGGCATCTTGGCTAGCAGGTGATCAGTTGCGGATTAGCACGGGCGAAATCCCTCAAACACCTAGCGGCATGCCGTCCGTCTTACAGGGTCCTAACCAGGCAGAGCAACAAGAGACGAACTGCAATATTACCGCCTTCCAGAATCGTCCACAACGCGGCCGAGGGCTGGAACGCACATGCGCGGAGTCCGGCCAGCTACCTGGAAATTTACTTGAAATGAAGCACTTGGACCTGGTACACCCATTGGTTCCATCAATGCAGGCACCTCGGTCTTCGAGATTCACAGCACCACCTCGGCATCAGCCCTGGAGCAGGTACCACAGCCTTCTCATCCGTCTCAGCCGCAGCACCCATGCACCTATCAAATGCTTTCAATGCCGCGGCGCAGGACAGGCGACGGGAACAGCTGGAAAAGTGAGTTCACATATACATGCAGGCCCTCCGTTACCACTCATGTGGCCAAGAACCACGTTCAGCTCGTCAAGCAGATCCTAGCTGTGCAGCAAAACCGCTACGATACGATATGGAATTGCATCAGCGAAACACACTAGCAAATGTCAACCTTACTGCCATGCTACCCATTCCCAAACCCAAATCGCCAGCTGGCGCATTTGCCAACGAGTCCATCTTACCTCGGTGAACTCGGCCATGTTGCACGTGTACGGCAGGTACAAGCAGGAAAAAGCCGCAGCACGTGCAGGGGTTACAGGAGCAGCAGCAGCTGCGCCGCCGGGCCAAGCAGTGAATGCAAGCGGCACCGGCGGCGGAGCACCTCGTGTGCCGCCTCTGGCCCTCGGCATCCTCCGCGAAGGAGCACAGGCGCCAGGCGAGGGGAACCGCTCTGCACGAAACGGTGGGGTATACGGCGGCAGCGGCGGAAGCACGGCACAGTTATCCGGTCGTGGAGGGCAGGGCCAGAATGCAAGGCTCCAGGCTCCGGCTCGTCCATCTGGAGCGCCAGCGGGCGGTACATCTAACCGCGGCGGCGGCGCAGCAGCCAACCCCGCCAAGGCGCCGCCAGTGCCTCGCATGGCAGCGGTGCCGCCTCCTGTGATAGTTGAACAACAGTTGCGGACGGCCGTGAATGCGCCACTCCCGAAGGACGAGGTTTGGGAAGCCGCGCAGGTGGGTGGCTTCATTAGGGCCAAAGAGCGATGAGTGCCATAAGGCCTGCAGAGCCTCATGTTGCTCTACCTTTCTTACCTTTTCGGACCCATGGGGCTCTCGACAACAGCGCATCATTGTTATGTGGACCTTAATAGGACCTGGCGGGGGGCTGGGGACTGGGGAGAGTGCGCACGAGGCGTCGTTGCCCACTAGGTATATGATGCGGGAGGCGTCTGGCGGACAACCGCCGCAATTCCGCATGACCTGGTATGTTCGCCATCCATCTAGGCAGCATGCTGCGTATTTCGTGGCCCGGATGACTAGCAGTTGGTAGATGGCCCCTGTCAGGCTCTTGTCAGGAGGCCCCTGACTCCATCACTCCACACTGGGCTAAGGGTTGTTACCTCGTGCCCCTGGCATCGCCTCCCCCAGGTGGCCCTGCCGGCCGATGGATTCGAGGAAGGAGCCGCGGGGCACGCCTCAGCAAAGACACCATCATCACGGATCACCAAGAGCCCCCGAATTGTAAGCAGGTGCTCTTGGGATGGAGGATCGTTAGACCCCAGCCTCCGCTTCTACTGATACGAAGGATACATGGCACGCCACGCAATCTGAGAAGGGCTGTACACCCGTGTAAACGCGTCCTCACGATCACAACTGTCCATGAATTGGTGTCCACCGCAGGTTGCGCAGGGCGGAGGTGCCGGAGCTACCTGGGCTGCCCAAGGCCAGATGCTGCCGATGGCCCCGCCTCCGGCCCCGGGTGCACCCGTGCAACCACAGCAACAGCAGTATGCGCCCGTGCCGCCAAGGAGCCCGCCACCGCCCAGCTCGCGGGGCATGCCATCAGGTACTCAAGCGGTCGGACCTTCGGCTGCCAGCAGTATGGCAATGGATACCAACAGCGGCAGGCTGACGTCAAACGCCGAAGCTAGCACTTCCGATACAGGTCAGGTCGGGTCAGGTTAGTTGATTTGATTTGCAGCTGTACTCGGCGGAGAGTAAGTTGGGGTGTGTTGTAAAGGGCTTGACGGCATCACCGGCGCGCTTCGAGGGTGGAAGATTCTGTACAAAGAGCAAATACCGGCACACTTCCTCGCGCCACGCAGTTCATGGAAGTGAAGGGGCTGGGCTGGCTCTGCACATCAGCGCCTTATTTGGGTTTCTCA